GTGTATGCTTCCACACTCTTCTGTGTTGATGTCTCCTGGACTTGTTTTGGGTGGTGTGGAGGTCTGGGATTGCATTTTGGTCCTTCATTTTGTCATTTTTGAAGATTCAGAGGCTCCCTGGAGTGTAGTCTCACTCTCCTGATTGGGTGTGAGTGGCAGGGCAAGAGTCTGAAGATCCCCAGTGCTCAGTATAGCTCCTGTGCTGCTGAGTGGTGGCAAGGTGGGGTCTCAGATGCTCCCAACTTTTTTACATTCATTTGGCTCCCAGGAGTGTGTGGGAAGGGTGGGGGAGGCTTGCTGGCATTCCTGAGGCTGTCTGGGGTTCGGCCCAGCTTCCACAAGAATAGGGGGGATGCAGGTTATGTTCACTAAGGCTTCAGATATTGCCCAGGACAGAGCCTGCTTCCCATATTGGAAGGGGAGGAGTGAGGGTGAAATTTCCAAGGCTGCTGACTCTGTCCAGGTTTCAGCTGAGCTCCCAGGGGGATGTGAATTGTTCTGGCAGTGATCACCAAGGCCCCAGACATTGTTCAGGGATCCATGTGCCTCACACCCTAGTGAGGGAGGCACCAGAGTGGCTCAGTGGGGTTCTTAAAGGTGTTTGACTTTCCACCCAGCCCCAGCAGACACACTATGGGTGTGGCAGGTAGCCACCAAGGCCCCAGAGGGTGCCCAAGGTTCTGCCTGCCTTGCACACTGGTTAGGGAGGCAAAGCTGTGTCTCACCGGGCTTACTGAAGATGTCCAGGGCAGTCTGTTTCTTTTCATTGGTGAATTGAGACCATTAACATTGATGGTTCTAACTAATATGTATTGACTTATCCTTCTCATGTTGTTTTCCTGTTGTTGGTTTCTCCATCCCCCCCATTTAATTGTTTGCCTTGCCTGGTGAATTCTTTATGTTGGGGTACATGGAGTTGTAGTCATTGTTATCTCTTTCTAGAATGTCCTTCAGAGCATTTTAGAGTGCTCGTTTGGTGTGCATGAATTTCCTCAGGTGTTCTTTTACATGGAGCTCTATTATTTTTCCATCAATTTTGAAGACAGTTTTGTGGGGTACATCAATCTGGGTTGGAAGTTGTTTTCCTTTAGGGCTTGAAATACTTCATTCCAAGCACTCCTTGACTTGAGGGTTTGTGTTATGAAGTCAGCTATGATTCTGATTGGTTTTCCTTTATAGGTGATTTGTTTCTTTTCCCTAAAAGCTTTCCACATTCTATTCTTGTTAAATTTCTGGAGTCTTGGCTATGATATACCTGGGTGAGGATATTTTTTGATCATGCCTAATTGAAGTTCTATATGTCTCACTTAAATATATGTCAAATTCTTTTTCTCTGCCAGGGAAATTTTCTGTCATGATGTTTGTGAACAGTTTTTTTCATATCATTTGTACTATCTCCTGCTTTTTCATTGACTCTAGTCAATCTTATTCATACTTATTCCTGTCTTTACATTATTTTTCCAGTACTAATTCCTTTTTTCCCTTTTGTTTAACTACTCTCCAAGTTAGATGTGTAATTTCCTTTGGGCTGTATGGTGCTTGTGGCCTCTCTGTCTCTTTCTAGGATTCTTTTAAGTGTTTTCTGCAATACTGGTTTACTGGTCATGTATTTCTTTAGGGTTTATTATGGAAAATTTTTATTTTTTCATCAGTTTTTTGAGACAGTGTCTTGCTATCTAGTTTAGACTAAACTTGAAATTATGATGCAGCCCAGGCTGTCCTCAAACTCACAGTGATCCTCCTGCTTCAGCCTCCTTAGTGCTGGGATTATGGGTGTGTACCACCTTGCCTGGCTCTTCATTGATTTTGAAGGGTAATTTTGTATAACTTAAAAGACAGGGTTGACAACTGTGTCTTAGGGCTTTAAAAATAGCCTTCCAAGTTCTGCTAGCCTTTAAGGTTTGTCTTTGGAAATCCATATAATTTTGATAGCTTACCTTTACAAGTAACTTGCTGTTTTTCTCTAGCAGCTTTTTGTAGTCTTTCATTTTGTTGAATTTCTGAGATGTTGGTTATGATATTTTATGGAGATGTTCTTTCCTGGTCATGGCTATTTGAGGTTTTATATACCTTTTATAATTTTATATTGAATTCTTTCCCTATATTTGGAAAGTTCTCTATATGATTTCAGTGAATAATTTTGTATTTATTTTTGTTATCTTCTATTTTTCCTTTAGTTTTAGAATTCTGAGGTTAGCTTTTTCTTTTTCTGAGTCATTAATGGCTATTGGATCCAGCTTGCATGATGTCCTGTTGTTTTTAGGGTATCATTGAGTTTTTGTTCTACTACAGCCACTCCATCTTCCTATTGGTCAAATCAGTATACAAATTTTCAATTAAATTTTTCAGATCCTTTATTTCTGCTTATTTCCTTTTTATAATTTCTAATTTTTTATCAAACTTTATTTAATTTTGTATTATCTTATTTAATTCAGTTCTTTTTTCTTTAAACTCATTAAACATCAGTAAAATCCTTTATCAGTTTAGTAAAATCCTCTTGAAGCTTGCTAAACATCTGATGAATTTGTCAATTTATTTTTTTTAATATCTTCAAACATTTTGATCATTTGGTTTTTTTAGTTCTCTGCTTGAAGTTAAGAGTTTTTGGAGGCATCTTGTGCCTTGCTTTCTTGTATTCTTATTGTTTTTGTGCTGCAGGTTGAAGGTCAGTTAGGGTAGAAAGGCTGTCATTACTATGGAGAGCCCTATAGTTAGAATCTGTCTTCCTGTGATGTGTCCTTGTGTTTGGTTAAGATTTGGTCTTTAAAACCCTCTTATGTCTGTATTTAACTGTTTTCTTAGTGTCCAAATTTCTTCTAGAGGCTTGATTTTTCACCACCACTCAGAGAAGGGAATAAAGTAGCAATGTTGATGGCACAAAGATAATCTAGATATTGGCATACAGTAAAAATCAGTGAAAAGCAATAGCTGCTCCATCATTGGTAGTAGCAACGAAAGCAGTGATACTAGTCAAAGACAGACAGGACATTGACATAGGAATAAATAACTACAACTATACTAACATTAACAATAGAAAGGAGAAATTCAATAATAATATAAACACAAAGACAAACCAAATGTTGACATACAATAAATATCTACTAAATGCAACAACTATCCCACCATTCATAGAAAAGGATTCAGCAATAATAGCTTGAAGTCAGCTAAATATCTACAAATTAATAAATCAATAATAATAAAAACAGAGGGTGGGGAAAGGGAAAAATGAAAGAAGTAAAATTTGAAAAAGAATGAAAAGATGAGAAGCAGAAGGAGATAAAAGTGAGATAAAGAATTCAGCTAAAGGATAAAAGAGTGTTAATAGAATTAGGTGAAAGTAATAGAAGAAGTAAGAAAAAAAATAAAAATAAGAGATAAAATAAAGTAAACATCAAAACAAAGGAAAAAGAAAGGCATCAAAATAAATAAATAAATGAAAAAGAAAAAGGAGTCCAAAAAAATTCCTGTGCTTTTGAATAAGTGGTTTCTCTCAGGGCCTGTAATATTGGAATCTACCAGATATGTGTGTAGTGAGTCACAACTAGGCTTAATTTATTTCCACATCCACTTTTTTTTGTATATAAAAGCTGAGGCTTCCTACTTTTCCCACTGGGTTGGGTTAATCAGTGTTGTGTTGTCTGACTTAGGGCTATCTTTGCTTCAGCACTGTTGTTATTTGTGTCCCTCTGTTTTCCTAAGTCCCTACTATGTCCACCTAGCATTATAGCCTGTGGGCTTGTGAGGTGCCTGCCTTGCTTCAGAGGCCCCGCTGTCCACATTCTAGGATGTGGCAACGGTCTTAAGCCAAGTACTGTTCCTGATCCTGTTGGCACATGGGGAAGAGCACACAGACCACTGAGCTTTGTGCTGGAAGTAGGCAGTGGAGAGTCAAGGAGTCCACTTGATTTAAGGCCAGCTCTTTCAAAACAGCCCCATCAGAATACCCAAATCTGGCTTCTCACCACAGCGGGTAGTTACCCCTCTGTGGTACTTTGTGACCTGAGTTCAGGTCAGAGGTTCTTAAACTTCTCTAAGACTAGTCCTCCTCTTCTCCGTGACTGTGCCTTGTGCTCATCTCTCAACCAGTCACTGTGGTAGGATGTCCCCAGAAACTCTGAAGTCTAGATGTTTTGTAGCTTCTGATTCTTGGAGTGGAGTAATGAATCTCAAACAATAAACCGCTTCCCAAAATGACTTCTGATTATAGCACTCCCCAATACGGTAGGCACTGCAATGGATTTCTTCTCCAAAACTGGCTTGCCTTGTGGAAGAAGTCAATTTTAGAGTAAAAAGCCCACACTGTGTTTGGAAATTACAGTAACTGTGAGCTTTCCTTGGGGTAGTGCTGCCTTTCTGTTGCTTCTTCTTGGTGTTTCCTGACCCTCCGCAGATTACCTTGCAATTGCAGAGACATGTGTCCCTCTCCAGGAACTGGGGTTGGCATTCTAAACTTTTCCCTTCTTTTTGGTGCACTGTCTTCAGTTTCTCCTGTTTTCTGTGATTTCTAGTTTTCCTGTTAGTTCTTTCTTGATTTCCCACAACTCTTTTTTTTTTCTTTTCTAAGTTACTGTTTCCAGGCATCTTAATTTCAGGTTCTGGAGAGGCTATAATATGCTACCAGCCTTATTCCACTATCCTCAGACACTGTCATGCTTAATTTTAAATCTTGGTGGGAGTGTTCCAGTAGTTGTACTTCTAGTGGCATATGGGCTCTATTTCTTTCTCACTAGTTGTACTCCTGAGGTATCTAGTTATGCTGGCTATGAATTCACATTCCTTATAGCTACTGGCTATTCTGTCCAGTGACCAGTATCAGGGAAGAGTTGAAGGTCTGTTTGGAACAATCTCTGTCGGTAGCTGTTGTCTCAGCATAAATATTGATAGTACCTCTTTTTCCCTTTCAAAAATATCTTCGTTTGTTGAGGAATAACAACTCATCCTCACAGAAAGCTAAGATTTAAGCTACATCCTCCTCAGTAAATTTAACAGGAGGAAAGATGATGACCCTTGGGGCAGAGTGTCGGAACACAGAAAACAGTGGGAGCAGGCAACTCTGCTGGTCAGAGTATGTCCTCTTCGAGCTCCTGGGTAAAGTGGCACTGATGGAGACAAGTCTCCAGAAATTGTCACCTAGGCTTTGGAGAAGGAAGTGGTGGAGGAGTTGCTCCTCAGCCCTTACTTCTTCTCCTCAACAAGCATACTGCTACCCTAATTCTACCCTTACAACACTGGGGTAATCTCTGCTGGTTTCTGTTGAGAAAGGCAGTGATGGTTCTCTAGATCAAGAGAAGGGCAAGAACAGAACTTGAAAATATTCCTTCCATCTCCCTCTCAACAGTCGTAATAGCAGTTATCATCAAGAATACACAAAATAATGCTAGCAAGGATGTGGGGGAAAGGAACACTTACACATTCACTGTAGGAAAATACACTAAGACAGCCATTGTGAAAATCAGTGTGGAAGGTCCTCAGAAAATTAACAATAGAACTACCATATGATCTAGCTATACCACTTGTTGGTATATACTCAAAGGAATTAAAGTCAGCATCCCATCGGGATACCCTCACACCATGTTTCTTGTGGCACTATTCACAATAGCCAAGATATGGAATCTGGCTAGGTGCCCATTAACAGGAAAATGGATAAAGAAAGTGTAATTTATATATATATATATATATATATTCGTTCAGCCATAAAGGAGAATGAAATCAGGTCATTTGCAGAAAGTGGATGTGTCATGGGGATCATGTTACAGGAAATAAGCCAAGCTCAGAAAAATAGTATCCCTTGCTCATCGTATCTCTCCTATGCTGGATCTGGAGGAAAAGTAAGGAGGACATGAAAGTAGAAGGGAAACTCTTAGAGAAGAGGAATGGGGAGAGGGGAGAGTAAGAGAGAGTTAGAGAATGTGGATAGGATCAAGGTATGTTATATGCATAGATGAAAATGCCACAATAAAACCCAGTATTCTGTATAAGTAATATGCACTCATAAAAAAGTACAAAAAAAGACTAATCCTGATGTCCCTTTTCTTCAGTGTGACTTTGGTGTTAAGCTCTGATGCCTTGGAATCTTCCAAAGCTTATCATTAGTGTTATTTCTAAGAATTTGTGTTTCCATTCGGCTTCTGTGGTTTGAAGCAGAGGATTCACATACTGAGGTATTTGTCATCTGAGTAGAAATCTATGATTGTCCAGGGCATTATGGGAATGTTTATGTATTTGAAATTTTGAAATACACGTATCAGTTTATATTATTGCTACTTAGTGATTTCATGATATCACATATACTGGAGGGCATCGTATCTAAAAAGCAGAAATACTTATGAAATGGTGAATGTTCATCATAATTTTATGTGTGCTTTACATATGTCTTAATTTACAGAGGTGATATTGTAGGAAGGTTAAAATACTGGAGTCAATGATTTGAGTGATGGGAAGTCTTGATTTTCTATAATATAGCCAAATATCCTTTTAAGATGAATACTGAGGAAGAGAAAAAATTATTCCAAACATACACAATTCATAATTTTTTTGGCAATGCTGGAGATTGAGCCCAGGGTCTCCCATGTGCAAACCAAGCATTCTACTACTGAGCGATAGTCTTATCCTCTACATAACATTTTAAATATTATTTTGGCCATCCTTGACATATCTGCTTGTTTCTTTCCTGCAAAAGAGTCACAAAAAACTAGCCCTTGATATTGGAGTATTTGTTGTTTTGGTGCTTTCTTTCTTTTTTCTATTTCTCTTAATTAGTTAATACCTGGATCATTCTCCCAATTTCTATACTTATAGGTGTATCTTGCACAATTTACGGAATTGATTCCAGAGTGGCCTAAATGGTAACACAAAATGGGAAAGAAGGGGGAATCATGAATGCCTTGCTTACCTTCCTTTCTTCTTTCTGTTTCCAGACAGACAGACAGACAGACACACACACACACATACACACACACACACACACACACACACAGTGCTATTCTCTGAAACTGTTCCTTTAGTTCTATCATAATTCCTTATGCTCATACTATTTGTGTCTTGAAGTCATGCAGAAAAAAATCAGACTGCCTTTCAGAATGTCTTACTTTATTTTTTGTGTACACTTTTTACTCTTCTGCAGAGTTATGAATGCTTTCACAGACTCTAGAGTATCCTCTGGCAAAGATAACAAGAGGTGAGTTGACTGACCTGAATTGCAAAAGGTATTGGGATCATAAATAACAATAACAGGTTTCTTTAGAGACTATGAAGTTCTGTAACTTTCTTTTTTAGTCTTAGTTAAAATAATAAGAACAAATCATAGAGCAGAGTTTCTTATAATTTGTTTGTGACCTTCAGTAAGTAGCAAAACTCTTATGGACTGCCAGAATCCCTGTGTGTATGACTTCCCCAGAATAGGTCAGGAGAGAGAAAATCTTATTTGGAACTAGAAGGAGGTAAGAGGACAGGGGAAAGAGGAGCTCTCAGCAGAAAAGAACAGAGGTGATGGAACTTGAGTGTATCTATCCCTCCCGCCCCAGACTTCCGCCATGAAGTGAGGCAGGTGAGGCAGGTTTGTTCTCTGTCCCTAGAATAAACATCATATTGGATGGAGCCCAGTACAGGCCTGTGGCTGCTGGATGAGGAGCAGGGGAAAGCAACCGCGATGGGTGAAAATTAGGAGGGGATAGAGGGGCTTAGGAAGCCGGACATTAGATGGGATTCAGAGGGGTGGCCTTAACAAACTGACGCTGGACTGCAAAGGGCGGTTACCTATTCACTGGGGTTTAGTAGTAAAGAGTTGCAGTTAATCCTGAGTCATTACACTTTTCACAAGGCCAATGTTTACTACAATCATAAAACGTATTTTTCCCTAGGGACTATAATGGAGTCCAAATAACTGACTTACATGCGAAGTTTTCAAAGTTCAGCCAGTTTGTAAATGGAAGGTTAATCGTAACAACTTGAGAACAATCCAGGAAGTCATTTATTGTCTTATTATGCATCTTTCAATCCTTTAGAGCTATCCCATCTAAATTCAAAACAGTATCCTTGAGTGGATTTACAGCGCAACATAAGATACGAATGAGTAGAACATGTGTATGTTACATGTACATGCATGTGTGGATACACACATACAACATAGATAAGAAATGTTTCCTTCTTCTTACCCTCTCCAATCACACAAATTGTTCTGTTTTTAAAGTACTAAAGCTTGCTTTGTATTAGGAAGTGTTTGCAGTAGTTCCTGGAATAAAATCAGTGTTTCAGCCCAGGAGATGGCTTGCATTTGGAGGAAGAGCTGACTTCACTACTTCTCTCTGGCTTCTCATAGTCACTCGCCACCCAGCAAATCACTAAACCTCTCTAAACTCTAGACTATTCGAGTAACGCTATCTACAAACCTACTTGCTATATGTTGTATAATACAAATTAATAATAAAGATAAAAGTACTACATGTGGGCATGGTGGCACATGCAGGAAGATCACTGTGAGGTCGGGGCCAGCCTGGGATACATAGTGAGTTTAAGGCCAGCCTGAACTACACAGTGAGACCCTGTCTCAAAAAAAAGTATTAAATGTGAAAATGATTTGAAAACTCTAAATCTCTATGTATAGGTTTTCTGCTAAAACCCAAAATTCATACAATAAAAGTTAATTACAGAACAATAGAAACTCATAATTTTTTGGAGGGGTTCCGGGAATCAAACTCAGGACCTTGCCCTTGCCAGGCAGGTGCTGTGCTGCTGCCCTGTGTCCCCAGCCCATAATTTTCAAAGTACATGTGTTCATATAAATTTACGGTGTTTATGTATGCCCTGGATTGAGAAGTTCCTTATTTGACATATCAGTCTTTTCTTTATCTTTATATACAGGTAATTTTCCCCAATTGTCTTGCTTTTCTTTATATAGCACTTAATAAGTTTCATGTAGCCAAATATATGAATACTTTTCTTTCTAAATAATGCCTTTTGTGCTACAGTTTGGAAGTTTTCCCCAGTCTCAGAGAATACATTCATCTAAATTTTATATCTTACATTTTCAATTCATTTTTATATTTAAATGAAGCATAGCACATGCTATTGCTATTGATCTCTACTAATATTACTTTAACCAATTTTCCTTTATATACACTTCACAAAATGCTGGCTTAATGATACCTTTGTTGTGACCCAAGGGTGCCACAAGAACAGATGCTGGTATGTTCATTTGGGATATGTGTTGGAAAAAGCATTTTCTGTGAAATGTATCTATTTATAACTTGCATATTTGAGGATTCTTAGGCATATGTGATGTCTGAATGTTCATTCAAATACAAATTTCCAATAATGAAAACTCAAAAAGCCAGATAAAGGCAATGTTGAAGAAATAAAAGTTTCCAAAACATTTCAGTTATCACCAGGAAGACCTAAAAAAATGTCTAAAGCCTACTTTTTTTGACACAGGGTCTTACTACGTGGTTGAGGCTGGCCTTGAATTCACTATGGACCCCAGGCTGGCATCAAATTTATGGCAATCCTCCTGCCTCAGCCTCTTGAGTGAGGGATTATAGGCATGTGCCACTATACCCAGCTAAAGCCTAGTTTTGAGGTACCTTTGAAATGTAAGGTGAGTCAGTCAGTAAAAAGTAAATTATGAGATTAAAATATCTGTGTGCTCCAAAATTTCAGCACTCATTTTCTTAATGATCATCAAAAGTGTTCATAAGACTAAGACTAATGTATACTTTTAAAATACTATAAAATCTTTTTTATAAGATTATAGCAAATAGTTACATGCCTTTTTTGGAGACGAGATAGGAGACATGAATACCACGTTCAGATCAATTAACTCCTTTTAAAATGTGACAATGTTTCATGGTTTGTCTGTTTTCTCCATTGAGATTGTGAGGCAGTAGAGGACTAGATGTAAGCTAGTGGCTTGATGGCATAAATCCGTTTCCCAGAGCTATAGTCTGATGGGCATTGTATGTTGGGGATCTGCTGCACAGCTTTGCCTATCACATTTCCAGGGAGACTGACTCATATTAACTGGGTTTTCAACATCAGTTGACACATTTATATTCCAGTTTATTAATTTTAATCTCATACACAGTTGCAAGGGGGAAGAATATTCATAGTTTCTGGCAAGCGATTCTCTTCCTAGAATATATATCTGCTCAGAAAACCCATCAAGTTTGTTACTGAGGATACTGAACATAAAGTCAGTTGAGTGATCTTTAAGACAGTCTGTTCTCCTCCTGTGTTTTTCTGCTCAAGTGGTCCAAGAAACCCCTGTCAGCCTGGCCAGGTCTCATTCTGGCCTGCAGGAACTCAAGGCATGTGCCTGTAATCCCAGCCCTCAGGAGGCTGAGGCAGGAGGATCATCATGAGTTTGAGGCCAGCCTGGGCTGCATAGCAAACCCCTAGAGAGAAAGAGGCAGGGGGAGAAAGAAAGAGAGAGAGAGAGAAAAGGAGAGAGAGCTCTTTTTTTACTTTATACTTGCTCTACCCCTTTGATAATATTAGAAACTGCATGATACTGTTAGATCACAGGTGATTATTCCTAACTCATTGCTGAGACCAGGAAATCTAGTCCCTTAGGAAGATCTGAGCAACACCTGGTCCCACTCACCATTCATTTACAGAACATTTGTAATGAGACTGACTGGGCCTTCTCATTTTGAGGGGTTCCCCTAGTCTGTTTTACTCTTCTGACATGAAGACTGAGGGTGCAGCACAAGCATGAGTTTTTTTTTCCTACCAGTGGTGATCACAGCACTTTGTTAATGACATTTCTTGAAGTCTATATTTCTGTAGTTTAAGGTAAAGTGTGAAGCATGTTGTTCTAGTTGATATATGAGTCCCCAAGTTCCCAGATTCTCTTGATGAGAATGTTTGTATAATATATAATATACATTTGTGATATGTATAATTAGATATGTATTTTTCATTGTATTTTAATTTACAGGTGAGTAAATTAAGTTATAGAGAGATTAAATTATTCAAGCCAGTGGTTGGGGGGGTAAGAAGCCAGAATTTTGTATAACAGCCAAATTCTTTTTAAAAATGAATTTGCAGAAAAGGAAAAAATATTCCATTAATGCAACTACATTAATAGTCACTTTAATATGAATGATATAACATACCAATTAGAGTTGATAACAAAGCAAGATTTCCAAGAAAATTAGGAATACAGGGTGACTAATGAAAAACTAGGTGCTTTCTTATTAATATCAGAAATAAGGCAAAGATGCCACTCTAGTATCTTTCAATATTGCACTGAAACTGCTAGCTTATGAAATAAGGACAATGTAAATAAAAGTATTACAGTTGGACAGGAGCAAATAAAAATTTCTGCTCAGTGCTAAATAATATAATTATTTAGAAAATCCCAAATAATTGATAAAAATGCTCTTCAGGAATGGATCATTATAACAAGGTTTCTGAGTACAAAGTAAATATATAAAATACCCAATTGCTTGCCTGTGTACTGAAATCACTAAGTGGAATTTGGAATTAAAAGCAGAATGCGGGCTGGGGATTTAGCTCAGCGGCAAAGCGCCTGCCTGGCAAGTGCAAGGTCGTGAGTTCGGTTCTCGGTACCGGAGAAAAACCAAAAAAAATAAAATAAAATAAAAGCAGAATGCCATACGTTAGCAGAAAAAAATGGAGAAAAAAAAGAAAAGAAAGAAATGGTACAAACTGAACAAAATGCATACAAGATCTATGTAAAGAAAAGTACAAAATTGATAAAAAAAAAAAAAAACAAGGAAGATCTAAATAGATGAAAAGATATGTTTCATGTTCACTGGATTGGAAGACTCCATACTGTTAAGATGTCAGTTCTCATGATTTATAGATTCAATGAAACCCCAAGATATTTTCTAGATATCAATGGACTGATTCTAAAATTTATATAGAAAGTCAGAAGACCCAGAATAGCTACCATAACATTTAAGAAGAACAAAATCAGAAGACTGGCACTATTGGACTTCAAGTCTTACTGAAATATGGGGTAACCAATACAATGTGATATTGGCAAAAGAATAGAAAAATATACCAAGAATTTTGTTGTAGTCAGGATTTACAAGGGGAACAATACAGGACACAAAATTCATAGGGTTATTTTATGATAGTCATCCAAAGAGTCATGCATAAAGAGAATACAGGAAATCTGTCCACACACTAAAGCCCAAAGAATCCCATGGCCATGTCCTGGATCCCATGGCAGTGTCCTACATGAGTCCAGCTGAAGACCTAGAGCCCATGACAATGACCCCCACAAGTCCACCTGGAGGCCAAGAGCCCATAACAATGTCTCATGCAGTGCTGTTTCATAGATCTGCCCTGGGAAGGCCCCAAGGTCAGTGGTGGAAGCTAAAAAGTCTGTGCCAGTGGGATAAAGGATCTGTGCTGGCAGGCTGAGGGATCTGCACTGGAGCCAGGAAGCAATGCTCAAAGTAAGGACCAGAGCTCCCCTGAAAGTTACTGCAGCCATCCTCAGTGACAGTGAGGTCCCGAGCTCCTCCCACATAAGAACCGTCAAGTCTATATCAGGAAAGCCAGCATGACAAGCTCTCCAGGAGATTGAACAGTGCACCATCTTCCCCTCTGGAGCCAGAAGCGATACTCTAAGCAAAGACCAGAACTCCCCTAAAGTGACCCATAAACATTCTCAGCAACAACAAGGTCCTGAGCTTTTCGACAATGAGAACAGCTGCATTCATATCAGGAAAGCCAGCATGACAAGGTCCTCCAGGAGAACCACAGCTCCCTGACAGTTTTTCTTCTGCAGTTCTGCCTCTTGTGCTGCAGGTAACAATCCTCAGGTGGGCCTCCTACATCCAGCACCATGCTGGTTCAGTTCAGCTGGGTGTTACAAGTTGATCACCAGTTGTCAATTCACCACACCAAGTAACAGAATAGAGATCTGAGAAATAGGCCTGTAGAATATAGACATTATTCTTTGACAAAGGAGGGAAGGAAATCCATAGGAAAGGACAGACTTTTCAGCAAATGGTACTAGAACAACGAGACAGACACATAAAAAAGTACAGCAGGAATGTAAGACTTTAATAAGAATATAAACTGTGTGCAAAAAATGTACATAAGAATTGTCTTTAGTTCTTGTTTAATTTTTCTATAAATTTAAATTTGCTCTAAAATATAAAGTCTATTTATAAAAGATGTACAAGAAAAACAATCATTCTGATCATGTGCTCCACTTTCAATTCAGAAAATCTTGTAAACAAAATTTACCTATCTATGTACTTTTTTCTAACTTATCAAGTGATGACTAGTGAATATCCCTTGCCACTGAAACTCCTTGTTCTAGCATTTTCTTTCCCTACTTTGCATCCTTTCATCAAATGTTATCGGGATGCACCTTCTTATCCCTACAATCTCATATCTCACATTTTAAATTTGATTATAAACATATGAAGTAAGGAAGGATGTTTAATCATAAACACACACATGCAAGTGCGCACTCACACTTACTGCAGAGATTGGCTTATCGGTCTGACTGCACTAACCTAAAGCTAGTACTTCAGCTGCTATCATGTGTCTTCAGGATTTGTTCTATATGGCTTACTTTTGTGCCCTGAAATTCCTGTAGGGAGAAGCATAATTTCTTCTACACTGATTTTATTTTTTGCATATTTTTTGTTTGTTCACAGAGATAAAAATGCCTTGACAACCTTTCCAGTATCTTCCAGGCAGAATATTAACAATAGGTGAGTTGGTTTTCTGTCACCTGGCTGGTTAACCATTTTGGAGTGGTCATAACAGTACACAATATGCCTGAGAGCCTGACACTATCTGTATGTAACCTTTTGTTCTGGAACTATATATATAAAGCATTGACCAGGTCAAAAGACACTTGCTCATTGTCTGCTTGTGAACTGTACGGACTAGAAACCAAAACCTATAAAATGTCACAATGCCTGAGAGGAGAGTATCCAATTTAGGAGCAAAGAGAGGTGGTAGCCGAGGGCAGCAGAGGAGCCCTTGGCACAAAAGACAAGAGCTGACATTCTCAGAATCAGTTCTTCACGCTCCGGAACTCTACTACCATGTAAAGCTGGTTTCCCGAACCTAAACGGACCATCACAAGGGATTCAGCTCCCACTTAGCATGCAGTAACTTGGCATATCTGAGAAAGATGACCATGATGGATGAAAGAGAAAAGGGAACGAAGGGACTTGGCAAGCAGGACGTTTGGTGGAATTAGAAGGTTGGGTTCCTGTAAACTCAGATTGGCCTTAAAATAAATTCCACCACAAAGGGCCCTGAGACATTGGTTATCTTTAGTAGTAAAGAAATGTTCTTAAATCTTGATCCATTAAGATGTCTTTTGCAAGCCTTAGGTTTATATTTCCATCAGGTACAGCCTCATTTCTAGGGAAAACTGCAAATACTTATTTTTTCAAATAATGAAATTACACGTGAATTTTTTTGGGTTCACCCAATTTATAAGTTATAGGAAAATTATATTTAATTTGAATGAAAAAGGAAGTCTATAAATTCACATGGTGTTTGATTATGTATAATTTAATCCTTTATCTTAGACCCAAATGAACTGCCACCAGTAACCTATGAGGGAGTCCTCAATCAAAGGTCAAGTATACACACATATACTTTATATATAAAGATACACAGATACTAAATATAAAGTTTCTTTGGAAATTATTTCTAAAGAATTGGCAGTGTCAGCTTAGTTTCTGTGTGAAGCATTCCCCACTTTTATGGATCTAGCTGGGTCACTGACAAGTCAGAAGAAACAGACTATTTCCTATTTAAGTGTCTAGTAGCCAAAACCCTAAGAAAATTATCAGATTTCTTGTGTATGGCACTTAACTAGGAAAGGTTATTAGTGTGCTAAGGCTACAAAGTATCTGACACAAAGTAACTTAAACGTTAGCAATTTATCTCACAGCTAGAGGTCTCATATCATAAACCTAAATTGGTGCTTGCAGGGTTGGCTGTTTTTGAGGGTTGTAAATAAGAATCTGTTCTTACTGCTTTCTGGGGATCTTTGGCATTCCTTAGTATGTACAGTCATCACACAGGTCTCTGCCTTAATTTGCACACAGTGATTTTCCAGTGTGTGTGTCTGATTCCACATTTTACCTCTTTAGAAGAATACCTGTCACATTACATTAAGAGGCTGAATCCACACCAGTTTGACCTTGTCTTAATTGCTTATGTGAGTGCATCTCTGTCACTAAATAGCATCACATTCTCAGTGACAGGTACTAGGACATCAACAATTGAATTTTAAGTCTGATAACAAGTGAGGGGAATCCTATAAAAGAGGAGATAAAATTTGAACATGGATCAAGCTGAGCTTTAAGTAGAAAAGATGAAACACAAAGACCCTTAAAATGTCTCTCATGCCAAAAAATTCTGTTATTGATCAGCTTTCCTATTGCTGGGTCCCAATACCCAGCACCTACAATTTAAAGGAGGGGAGGTTTTAATTCTTTTGAGAGGTTTGATTTAGCTCACGGTTTGAAGGGATTCAGTCCATGGTCAGCTAGCTCAAAGGCAGGAATACTTTGGTGGAAGGGCATGGTAGATGAAATCTGCTTAGTTCATGGTGGCTGGGGAGCAAAGCAGGAAGGCGGTGCCAGAGAAGAAGGGATAAGGACCAGATACAGGGACATGGACCAGGTCATGCTTCCAAGACCTACCCAGACACACCCAGAAGTGTGCTTTACCAATCCCAAGCCAATTAAATTGACACAGTTAGACTTAACTGTCTCACTCAGCTACCATATAATGCTGATGTCCCAAACCCAAACTCACCATCATTTTGGAGGGACCCATTAACTGAAGGTTGCAGCTCATTAATGCTTTTTTCTGTGGATAACAGAAACATATGGTGAGTGAAAGGAAGCAGGTGACGGAGGGACCAGAGAATCAGGAATTTAGATGGAGCAAGAATGACCTTTACCTATACACTGAAGTTGATTTTGAAATAAATGCCACCATAAATGACTGTTACACATTGCGACAAAGATAATAATGTAGATTTTTTGTTAAATCTGAGAGTATTACTACTTTCACAGGTCTGTTACATTTATGAGCAGCCTTATCCCTAGTAATAATTGCCACACTAAGTTCAAATAGTAGCGAAATGCAACTGGATATTTAAAAATTGTCCAGTTCATGCCCAGAATAACTATAGGTACTTGATCTAAAAAAGTAAGTGAAAAATCACATATTGTGTCTGACAGTATATTTTTATAATTCCTTAGCTTACAGCGAAGTAAAGTGATACCCGTAATCTATGTGGAACCCATCAATGAAACGTGAGTTAAAAATAAACATATATATATATATTTTTTTCTATCAAGATCAACACATACATCAGCGAAAGAAAAAATAAAGAACACAAAGAAAATAGAAGAAGAATTTTGCAATTGTAAAAATTATCCTCTTGGAAAAAAAGTCTTTGACACTGTATTTAAATCTTCGCCCTGAACAAGCTGCTTCTTCCTGTCAGTAGATTTGTCACCCTCAGTAGCAGCCAATCTCCTAGGATACTACCAGGTTTCCTATATGAGACCCTACCACAGGGGGCCAAAGTATCGAATCCTACTTGGGGAAAGAGAAAGAAGTAGCAGGCAGGAAACAGTGGAGGCTTCAGCAGAAGAGGTCAGAGTAATGCAACATAGATATGTGCTCCTCATCCTCCAGACCTCTGCCACTGTACTAGTCACTTTCTCCTTGCTGGGACAAAATATCTGCCACCCAAAACTTAGAGGAGAGGTTTACTTTTGGTTCATGGTTTTAGTAGGTATGACATGATTAGCTAAGCAGAAACAGCATGGTGGGAGGGTATGGCAGAAGAAAGCTGCCCATCCCATGGCAACCAGGAAGCACAGAGACAAGGGAGAAGTTGAGAGCTATATAACACATCCTTCCGAGTCCAGTGACCCACCTCTTCTGACAGGTTCTACCTCCTAACAGCACATTCAGGTAGGAATTCATCAGCGGATAGCCCCCCACAACCCAGTCACCTTCCAAATGCCACAGCTCAGAATACATAAGACTTTTGGGGAACATTTTAGATCTAAACCATAACAACCACCATGAGAGGCTGGTGCCTTCAGTACAAACACAGTACCACCTTGGGTGGAGTCCCTGCCTCATAGATGTAGCTACTTCATCCTGTTTCATGGGCAAGAAAGACAGTCATGATGAATTAGAGTATTAGAAGGTGAAAGACAGACTTAAGAATGATTAGATTTAGTAAGAGGATGTATATCTATAAATTACAGTTGAATTTGAGATAAATGCTACCAAAAAGGCTAGTATACATTGAGATTGAGGTACGATTGCCTTAAATCTCCATGTATTACCTTTTTCAGAAGCCTAAAATGTTCATTACAACATGAAGCCTTACTTCTAATAAAAATGCCACCTTCAAAAGAGTGATGTACATATGAATATTGAAAGATCAACCAGAGCACAACTCGTAGAATAAATGTTACTCGTAGAATAAAACAAGTTATACTTACACATGTTACCCAACTACATACTTTCTGGTACTTTAGGTCATACTAGGATGAACAAACATCAGATACTGATGATGGAGCTATCAGTGAAACGTGAGCTATAAACTAAGAACCAAGAAATACATGGAGGTAGGACCTGTTATTACACATATGTACAATTATATACAAGTTTCTATGTAAAACTACATACTTCTATCAACACAAACATATAAATACATGTAACTACTCACACTCTCTGTGCACAAAAAAATAACACCATGAAGGAGGCACCACAAAGATAGCACATGAGGAGGCTGAGATGTGAGGAGTGCAAGTTCAAAGCCAGCTGAGCAACTTAGTGAGACCCTGTTTCAAAAGGAGGGTGGGCAGTTATTAACAGTATTCTCATCACTAAAACACTGCCTGGCCTATGTGAGGCCCTGGGTCCTATCCAGGATACACAAACAAATAAAAGCAATCAATCAAAAATTATAAAACATGAAAATATGTCTTCAGGTATTGGTATTACTTACCCTTGATGCGGCATCTAACTTGGTCACTATGTGCCTGTAGGTAACTTTCTTTTAAAAGGTCAAATTGGGTAAGAGTGGAACAGATTGTGAGATTCTTTTTTCAGTTAGTATGTTTGTTGCTGTTAGTAGTGGCAAATTACTTAGAAAACTATCGGATTTCTTCTATAAGACTCCTTATATAAGTAAAATATAAGAGGAGGCCTCTAAGAGGAGGTCAAAGAGCAAGAAAATCTTATCTTGGGAACAGTAGATCCTTCAGCAGAAATGAATTGATTTATTCAGCCAATATGTGCTGCATAAATTCTGCATCCTTGAGATGCACTCACCAAACAAGGCTGGTACCCCATCCCAAATGCAAGCATCGCTTTTGAGAGAACCACCCACGCAGGCCTCTCATATTAACCCCATTTGAGAGCAGAGCCGACACATGTGATAAGTGGTGCTAAGGAGGTGATGGGATGGACTTGAGAATCGGAATTTAATGGGGCGAGAATGACCCTTACTTACACACTGAAGTTGGATTTGAAATGAATGTCACCATAAATAACTGTCACACACTGGACTAAGGCAATAGTATAGAGCTTTTAAATTTGAAAGCACTGCTACTTTCACATGCCTTAAGATATTTATCATCAGTCCTGTAAAGCTTCATTCCTAATAAGTAATGCCACATCAAGTTCAAATAGTTGTGCTATGTACATGAATATTTAAAGATTGAATAGTTCATGTCTAGGTAGCTATAGATATATGAGCCTAAAATATAAGTAAAATCATGTATTGTTTCTGACAGTATGCTTTTATAATCTTTTAGCTTACACCAGGATGATGTGACATCAGTATCTTATGTGGAACCCATCAATGAACTGTGAGTTTAAAAGAAATACAAGAGACATATACATAGAAATATGTATGCATAATTACCTACATGTATGTTTTTGTCAAGCCACACACTACACATATACACAAATGCACAGGGAAATCTGAAACAGGAAAGGAAGGAACAAAAGACACTGAGATTTGTAAAATTCATTCTGAGAAGTCCCTTGGCCACATAGCGCATCTTTGGCTCTTTAGATCTAAATGTTCTCACTCAGAGATTTTTTTTTTTGCTGCCTTTTAAAAATCAAATTCAACACAAAAGGACCAAGTCGTCAGCAAGATGCTTTTTCTAGTCAGCGTGTTTGTTACTTTTAGTAATGGCCTATCCATAGGAAGCCATTCAGTCCTACTCATGAGTCTCTAGTGGAGTAGGTCCAAAGAAAGAATTCTATTCAGAGCAAAGAGGAGGAAGCAGTGGATAGGGATCTTTTTGAGCCTAAAAGATCAGAGATAGTGGAAACTGGATATGTTCATCACGACCACATGGTATGCTTTGTATCTAGATGTCCCCAAAGAGCCTCAAGCACTCACAGGGCTTCTGGAAGATGACTGGATTATGGGGACTTATAGCTAACTTGCTGCTGGGAGATTGGGTCTGGCCAGAAGAGGTGGGTCACTGTGGGCATGGCCTTGAAGGGTCTCCCTTCCCAGCTCCTCCTTCTACTCTCTCCTTCCTGCATGCCATGTGGTGAGCAGCTTACCTCCGCCATGCCACACTGCAGCCAGGAGACTATGGACTGAAACCTCTACAACTGTGAGCCAAAGTAAACCTTTTCTCCTTTAATTTTTTGATATCTGATATTAGATATCTATCTGATCCCAGTGACTCGGAAAATAAATAAGACACCAGAACCCTACAACCTCATGAGAATGGTGCCCGAACCCAAACCTACCTCAAAATTGTTCAGAGTCCCTGCCTCAGGCTTACAGGTTCTTGATCTTCTGAAAGAGCAAGAAAGACATCCATGATAGTGAAAGTAAGTAGACGAAGGAAATTAGATGGGGTGAAAGGGGTTTGTACCTAGAAACTGAGTTGATTTAAAAAAAACAAACCATCAAAAGCTGACCAAATATGTTCGTCAAAAACACATATAAAGCTCATTCTTGTGGAAAAGTGACATATAAGTTTTAGAATAAGTGATTTACATGTGAATATAATTCCACCAATTAATAATCTTCAGAATAATTTTAAACAGGATGTAAAGTCTAGAAGTCATATGATGTGTGACCATATGTATCTTTAAATCTTATAGAACTGACCCATATGAATTTATATCAGTATGTACTGATGGAGCTACCCATGAAATGTGAGATACAAATATGCTAAAAGCACTATATGCATAGACACAGATGCATAGATATAAAAATATGGTAATTCTATATAGCTAAATATACAGCATACCTGATAAATACACAGAGAAAGATGAAAGTTGAAATTTGGAAACATCATTTGTAGAATGTAGAATGCCATTGTCACTGTTCCTAAGTGGTGTCATGGTAGCGTACGTAGGTATCCTTCTTCTACCTTTGGGGATTGATTTGGATAAAAGAAGAACACATCATAAGGGGAATACGGTCGGTGTGTTTTTAAAAGTATGTTTTCATTTTTATTATATTCACAATGGGGCCATAATGTGTATGTCTCGTTACCAGGTGGCTTGAACCACTGGTCCCACTGGGCAGCTTTTTATTAATTTTACTAATTAAAAGACCAGTAAAAGTGATTAGATCCATTTGTACCACCAGTGGTACAAATGATGGGACAGTCATGCATGTTCCACTGGTGGTTCAAGCTGGCAGGAATGTGTTAAGGGACATACTAAGGGTACACAGTTATGGGGGACAGTGAGACATTTCAATACATGTATAATGATTAGATCAGCATAACTGGCATTTCTATTACTTCAGACATACATCATTCAAAATTCTCTCTAGTAGTTTTGAAATATTCAATTAATTTTTGTCAATCATTGTTACCTTAGTGTGTTATAGAACATTAGGAGTCATCCTGCTTATCCAACCTTTGTACCCAATAACCATCCCCTCTCCACACCTCTCCCCCCAGCCCTCCCAGGCTGTAGTAACCAGTATCTTTATTTCTTTGAAATTAACTTTTAGCTCCACATGTGGTATTTACCTTTCTGCACCTAACCTATTTTACTTAGTATAATGTCCCCCAGGCTCACATATGTTGTCGCTAATGACAGAATTTCATTCTTTTTGATGGTTAGAAATATCCCATTATTTATATATACCATATTTTCTTTATCCATTCGTTTATCAATGTGCACATAGGTTGATTTCACATCTTGGCTATTGTGAATAGTGCTGCAATGAACATGCAACTACAAATTTGTCTTCAATATGCCAATTTCAGTTCCTTTGGATATGTACCCAGTAGTGAAACTGAGAGGTCAAATGGTATTCCTAGTTCTAGTTTTTGAGCAATCTTCACTCTGTTTTCCATTATGGCCACACTTATTTACAGTGCCATCAACACTGTATGAGAGTTCTCCTTTCTTCCCATTCCTTTTTATTTGTTTTGTTTTGTTTTGTTTTGTTTTGTTGTTTCTTTTGTCTTTTTGAGACAGGGTTTTGCTATGCAGTTCAGGCTGATCTTGAACTCATTTTGCAGCCCAGGCTGGCCTCAAACTTGTAATGATTCTCCTGCCTCAGCCTCCCGAGTGCTGGGCTTTCTCTCCATTCTTGCCAGGATTTTTTTCTTATTTATCTTTTTGTTGAGTCATTCTAACTGGAGTGAGATGATATTCCATTGTGGTTTGGGCTTGCATTTCCCATGATTGGTGATGTTGGGCAGTTTTTCATATTCTTCTTGAGTATCCATACATCTTCCTTTGGGAAATATCTGTTCAGGTAATTCTCTCATTTTTAATGAATTGTTATTGCAGTTGAGTTTCTTCAGTTCCTTATAAATTCTAGAAATTAATCCCTTGTTGGAGGAATCATTTGCAAATATTTTTTCTCATTTTGTAGACTGTTTCTTCACAGTGTTGACTGTTTCTTTGTTGTACAGAAGCTTTTTAATGTGATATAATCCCATTTGTCAATTTTTGTTTTTGTTGTTTATGATTCTTGGTTCATATAAAAAATATTTGTGCAGACAATCTCCTGAAGCATTTCCCCTATATTTGATTCTAGTAGCTTCTAATTTTGCATCTTACATTCAAGTTTTGATGCGTATTGCATTGATTTTTTTATGATATATAATGAGAGATATAGCTGTAGTTTTTTATGTTTTTTTTTTTTTTTTTTTGCATATGGATAGCCAGTTATCCAAGCATCACTTACTGAAGAAGGTTTCATTTGTTTAATGTGTGGTCTTGTTAACTTTGTCAAAAGTCTCTAAATCCCAAAAAGTGTGGATTTAATTCTGAATTTTCTTTTCTGTTATACTGGTCTCTATTTTTTTTTTTTTTTGTAGCTTTTGTGAATGGCACTGCTTTTTTATTTCTTCCTCAGCAATTTTGTTATTGATGTATGAAAATCATCTAATTTTGTATATTGAGTTTATTTATAGGTTATTACAGTTTTTGATGGAGTCTTTGGTTTTTCTGTACATAGAATCATGTCATCTGTAAACAGAGATAATTTGATTTTCTTTCCTATTTGGATGCCTTTTGGTTTTTTTAATTCCTGTGGCTAAGACTTCCAATCTGTATTGAATCAGAGTGGTGAAGGTAAACATTCTTGTCTTGTTCTTGATCTTAGAGGGAAAAAAAATTAGCTTTTCTGATTTGGTGTGATTAGGCTGTGGGTTTTTCATATATGAGGCATGATCATGAAATACTGTGAATTTTGAAATTTTAAAACATTTATTACAGTAACAGATACATTACCATTAATCCCACTCAGAATATTCTTTCTTGCTTCAAACACATGTACCCCATTAATATTATTACTTTCTGAAGCAGCTCTGGAACTTTTCCTTTTAGAGTGTCAAGTTGTGCTGTCATGGCTGCCGTGATGCCTGAATTGATTAAAAACACCTCCATAGTCATTTTGATTTTGTGGAAGAGCCAGAATTTGCACAGAGTCAGAGACAGTGAGTAAGGTGGATGAGGACACACCATAATGTTTTTATCTGACAGAAATTTCTATAAGTGGTCACTCAGTGAAGATGATCATAAAATACAGTGAATGTCTAAATTTAAAAATTTATTACAGTAAAAGACACATTGGTATTAATCCCTCTCAAAATACTCTCCCTTGCTTCAAACATACTTATCCTAACATTTGCGGCAATGTGCCTTTTAAGTATTTTTAAAATTTAAACATTCACTGTCTTGGGGCTGGGGATTTAGCTCAGTGGCAAAGTGCCTGCCTGGCAAGCGCAAGTTCGTGAGTTCGGTTCCCGGTACCGGAGAAAAACCAAAAAAAAAAAAACAAACAAACAAACATTCACTATCTTGTATAACCTTTGTGTTGATTTAAGTTCACTCTGTATCTAATTTTTTGAGTTTATTTTTATCATAAAGTGATGTCGAATTGTTAAATTTTCTTTAATGCTTTTTCCTGCATCTATTGAGATGATCTAATTGTATCCTTCATTATTTTATGTGATATACTACATTTATTAATTTGTGTATGTTGAACCAGCTTTACCTCCCTGAGATAAATCCAACCTAATCATGTTATAAAATCTTGTTATGTGCTCTTGTATTTGATTTGCCAACCCTTTGTTGAAAATTTTTGTATCTAGGTTCATCAAGGATACTTTTTATAGTTTTGTTTTTCCTTGTCTGGCTTGGTATCAAGATGATGCTGGCCTCATAGAGTGAATTTGGAAGGGTCCCCTGCCTTTTGATTCTTTAAAATAGTTTGAGAAAATGTGGTGCTATTTCTTTGATTGTGTGCTAAAATTAAGCAGTTAAACTGAAATGGTTTTTGGTTATTGGTCAGGAGACTTTCTATCACTGATTCAGTCTTATTACTTGTTATTGATCTATTCAGGACTTCTGTGTCCTCATGGTGCCTAAGTTATATGCGTCCAAAATGTATTCATTTATTCTAGGCATTGCAATTTGTTGTTGTGTGATTATTCTTAATAGTTGCTAATGATCCTT